GGTTTAGGGTTCAAGGTCTAAGGTTTCATTAACATAGGGGCCTAAATAATTACCAATACTATTTTGCGGCTCCTTATTATAATTGTATTTTAATATTCCGCAAGACCCTGTTCTAATCATTAAGGCCCCTATATTATATGGTTTCGGTTTCATGATGCAGGGTTCATGGTTTAGGGTGGCGCTCGTTTGTTTCGATGTTTTAATCTTGTGGGTTTTTCGGTTTCAGGGTCTAGGATCTACGACGTATGGGTGTGGCTGTGGGGCTGTGGCACTTTGGGATTGAGGTTTCGAGGTTCTTGCTCCTGGTATTTGGGGGTAAGGGGTTTACCTATAGTTGCCATTGTAGTTCCTTTTGGGGGATACCTTATAAAATCCTAAGCATAAAATTGGTTAAACCAGAAAAGGAACCCTAAACCCTAAACCCTAAACCCTAAACCCTAAACCCTAAACCCTAAACCCTAAACCCTAAACCCTAAACCCTAAACCCAATACAATGGAGACTACAGGTAGGGTTTAAGTTTAGGGTGAGGGCCTCGGTTTCCAAGTTCATTGCAAACACAGAGTGGCCGCTGGCTTTGTGGGTTTTAGGCCGTTTTGCAAGAGTAGTCGTTGCCAAGTCTCGGGCCGCTGTTCTAAACCCTAAACCCTAAACCCTAAACCCTTCTAGGGCAGGGCTCGATTAGGTTGCCTTGCCGTTTAAGCCTTTCTACCATGGTAGATGTCGGATTTGATGAAGGATTTGGGTAGTGTGGCGAGATTCCCGAGCTTCTCCAAGCAGTGTCGAGGTCATGTCAGCTCAGTGCCATGTGCTTTCGCTGCAGCAGCAGAGAATCACCAATTGCAGTCCAACGCTATGCGCAACAGGCAATGGCCAATTTACTTCCAAATCTGAATCTGTTGGAATGGGGCACATAGTGTTTAAATACAGGTACTGCCCCTTTTAGTTGAAAGTTCGTAACTGCATTCCGCGATGTCCCAAATCTGCGGCGAGTCTGCTAGTTCTGCTAACTTGCCGAGCCGACCTATCAAAATCAACATTGGTGGCGAGAAGCTCATCGCTGTGTCTCCAAGCTTGTTCGACATTCTCGGTGACAGCAAAATGTCTGCAATTCTGTCGGGGCGCTGGGAGACACTTCGGGACGCAGATGGCAACATTTTCATGGACTATTCCCCTGAGGTGTTCATGCCACTGGTTGAATGGTTGCGTCACCGGCGCGATGCCTCACCACGCAGCACCATCCGCGTCCGCGTGGAACCCCACTATAGGGATCAGTGGATCCGAATGATGAGGAGCTTCGCCGTTGAAGCAAAGCAGCTCTTGATAGCAGGTGTCTCTAAGCAGGAATTGGTGAAGTTTGGTTTCCCAGAAGAAGAGGCAGTGGACGAAGCGGCGGAGCGGCCTCTTCGAGTCGCGGAAGGGAAACGAACAAAGGATGCACATGTGGAGCTTGAAGAAAAGCTACGGGAATTTCGGGCCAATACCTACCCCGTGCCAAAGGCCATGTCTGGAGGACGACGGACGCAACTAGAAAGGGAGCTGCTAGGGGGAACGAGAACCTCGCAGCGGACAGATTTATATATTTAGGGGTCGGAACAATTACCATTATTAGTCTTTGGGATTCGTCATATTCACTACAGATATACCATAAACTCACGGGCCTATTGTAGCTATTACGGCCCCTGTGCTTGCGCGGCTGACTCTTCTGCATGCCGTGTGCGTGAAAAGAGTGCGGAACAGTCTTTAGCGGACTCAGGAGTTTGTTGGGTTTAGGGTTTAGGGTTAACCCTAAACCCTAAACCCTAAACCCTAAACCCTAAACCCTGAACCGTTTTAGGGTTTTGAAGTTTTGGATGTATAGGGTTTAGGAGTTTAGGAGTTTAGAGGTGTAGGGTTTGGAATTTAGGGTTTGGGGGTTTAGAGTTTTGGGGTTTTGGGTCCTGGGGTTTAAGGTTGAGGGGACTCAGGAGCATGTTTGAGGGTTTAGGGTTTAGGGTTTAGGGTTATCCGCAGGGTTATTGTAACGGTTACAATAAGCGTTACTACGAGTGCTGCTATAGGCCATCGGGCTTTTGCCTCTAAAGCAAGGCTAGCTGGGTACTATAGAAGCCTATAAGTAATCGCCAATACTATTCCTTAGGTTCCTTATTATCGTTATACTACATAGGAACCCGAAGCCTTGAACTGATTCTGAAGGCCCCTAAATTTCGTTTTTCTTGTGCTGCTGACCTGATGGTGAAAGGCAAAGGACTGAGCCTTAAATGTGTCTTCTCATGATTTCGTGTATATTTAGGGTTTAGGGTTTAGGCTATGGGTTTAGTGTGTCCCTTCATGGATGCCTTAATATTTCGGGCTTAGGGTTTAGGGCTATGAGTGTAGGGTTTAGGGTGTCTTCTCATGGATGCCTTAATGTGTTAAGGGTTTAGGGTGTTTTCTCATGGTTGCCTTGGTTGCCTTAATGCCCTAATATTTCGAGTTTAGAGTTGAGGGCTATGGGCTTAGGGTTTAGGGTGTCTTCTCATGGTTGCCCTAATATTCCGGGTTTGGGGTTGAGGGCTATGGGTTTGGGGTTCAAGGAGTCTTCTCATGATTGCCTTAAGCTTGAGGGCTATGGGTTTAGGGTTCAGGGTGTCTTCTCATGGTTGCCTTAAAGCCCTTGTATTTCGAGTTTAGAGCTGAGGGCTATGGGTTTAGGGTTTGGGGTGTCTTCTCATGGTTGCCCTCACATTTCGGGTTTGGGTTTGGGGTTGAGGGCTATGGGTTTAGGGCTCAGGGTGTCTTCTCATGATCGCCTCAGTTTTTTGGGTTTAGGGTTTAGGGCTATTCGAAACGATAGTAATTATTATGGGCCTAAGGGCTTATAGTATGCCGCGGCTTGAAGAATGATCCGAAATGGTGGTGATTGTTGTTGGGGATTCCTCCTGCAACCCCGAAAGTTGCAAGATCGCCCTGGACCCCACAAGACCTGACCTGGCCATACTGTTGATGGACAAAATTCTGCATGACCCAAATATAGTATAGTACCATAAATCCCTCAGTTTAAGTCTATAAGGTCATGCAGGGTTTTGTCCATCAGCCCTAAACCCTAAACCCTAAACCCTAAACCCTAAACCAATACCTCTTAGGATCTCGGCTCTTGTGGTCCTTCACAGCCTGAAGCTGGGAGTTATTCGGATTGTAGTTGCTTGAGACTCTAAGACTCC